TTATTAACGAATAGTAATAATTACAAATTATTAACGAATAGTAATAATTACAAATTATTAACGAATAGTAATAATTATAAATTATTAACGAATAGTAATAATTTAAACAAAATATCTTACCATCCGTTATTTAAAACGGAAATTTCCAACGAAAATTTATCACAATCGTTTATACTTAATCTTGATTCCAATATTTGAAGATTATTTTTATCGCTGAATAATTGATCACCGGTATCGTCGTTTGATAGTACGGAAGTGCTTTGAAGTAATGGTATTAAATTTTCAATAGATCGGTTTACACCAAAGTTACGTTTGATAAGGGATATTTGTTGTAGACGATTATTGAATGCAAATATATCCGTAAGGCTTTCAAGCAATGAATCACAATGAAGTAAGAGGTCTTGTTTTTGATTTATCTAGAAAATATATTTTTCAGGTTCAAAAAATCAATTTTAGAATTAAAAAATTAATATTAAAATTAAAATCTAAATCTAACTCACAATTTCTTCTACTTTTCTTATATGAGCAATTCCATCATGGACCCTTGTTTCGAGAGAATCAAGGAGTGAATTCATATGGGAAAAGTCTGTAACTCGTATTTCTATATATTAAAGTCGAGGAATTGAGCAAATATTTATACATCTCTCCTTTTTTTTTTAGTTTGTGTAAATAAAAGAGTAAATAAAAGAATATATATATAATATATATATATATATATATATGTCAAAAAAGATTACAAAACCATCATGATAATTTTCAGCAGAGGACCTTATTTTCAATTTAAAGTTCCCTACATCAATCATTTCCCAATGAGAAGAATCAATTGTGTAAAAATAAGGCAAACTAATAATATCTTCGAATCCTTGACGGTAAAAAGGTCCAATAACGAGCTTGCGTTCAGTCAAAATTTCTGAAAAAAAAAATTATTTATAATTAATAATATTAATTTAAAATATAACAAAAGTTATCAGTCAGTTACATATTATTTAATAAGGATTACCATATAATATAAAGCCATTCTCTGAATTTATGATAACATGTCTTTCATCTGTAATTTGAACAATCAATATGGACTCACAATCTGCAGTGGATTTATCTAACTGGACTTCTACCCTAAAACGTTCATCGAACTTTTAAATTTTTGTTTTTGTTTTGTTTTTCAAATTAATTAAAATTAATTAATTGATTTAATTTACATTAACTTACATTAATAAAGGATTTCCATTAATAATGGTGCTCCACGTTGGTTTCATGTCATTTGTATCATCATTCTTGAAGCATATAACTTGCTTTTGATCTGTACCTATCCAAATAAATTCTTCCATAAATGATTTCATTAAACATGTGGTCATTTTCGCATAAAATCCGGGAATTTTTGATATTATATTAGTTGATGATCTTGATGGTCTTGGTGACGATGAATTTTCATTAAAATTTTCTATTTTAATGTTAGAATCATATAAAGGACGATATATAACTTTGACAATTTCATATATATCTTCTCTATTTTGAAATCTATTTTCATCCATCCAATCAATCCAGAATCCATAAATGTAATAAGCTGGAAGTTTTAAGAAAATTTTATTTTCACTTTGTAATGATGAACTCCATAAAAATATATAATAGGTGTTTTTCTCTTCTTCGTCAGAAACTTTCTCATTATCTTTATAAATAAGTACGATAATAGGACCATCCATAATAACAACACCTAAAATAGAATATTTAAAATAGTGTTGAATAATTTAGAATATAAAGATAATAAGATAAAGATTATAAATAAAGATGATAAAGGTGATAATAAATGAAGATGATAAAGATGATGATAAAGATTATAAAGATAATAATTATATTTCTATTTACCATAAAATGAAGCATCCGAAATATCAGAAATTTCATTGTCTGTCAATTTTATATCCCACGATTCCCTAAAGTCTCCAAATCGAGTCAGTCGGAAATCAATTGCTTTTGAATCACTATAGAGCAAGTAAGGAGCTTGTCTACTTATTTAGAAAAGTTGAATCATATTAACTCAAAAACTTGCATTTATAAAGTTCTTTTTAAAATCATAATTACATTGCATATTCGATATCACTTTTTACAGTGAAAGCAACAATACTCGGATAAAAATATTCTTTGGGAATAAAATACATAAATTTTAATATTTAAAATAACCCATGTTTTTAACTTTGGAGAATCTCTATAATAGAGAAAAGATATATATTCATACTTTCTTGCGCTATTTTGAAGAAACCTTTTTTAACCCACTTTTTTTCTAAATCTAGAAAAAAGTATTCAAGAATAAAGTTTTTTTCAACGCGTTCATAATATAATTTTAACAAAAAGTGTTGAAAAGATGCGTATTCACTAGGAGTTCGCTCAGTTTTGGAAAGATCAAAGGGCTTTAGTGGAAAAAACATTTCCGAATACAATCATGGATCACTATTTCGGATCTAATGTAGCTGATTCGAATTGAATCTGGATAAAGATTTTGTATATTAAAAAAAAAAAAAAACATGTCATGTATAAGAGACTCTCGACGGAGATGTGAAAAAATAATGATTCATAAGATATATTAAAAATACTGTTTTGTGTAAATTACAATTAAGTGAAAAAAAGTAATAATAAGAATTAATAATATTAATAAAATGGATAACAATTGTAGAATTAATATAAAATGTTGAAAAATCTAATTTTTAATATATTACCAAGTTACCTATTGATACCTCTTTGTTGGTAAACTTTACAGTTCTTTTAGGAGTTTATAATGTTACATCCTTTAAACACACTTTAATTTACTTGAAGGCACCAGTTTTTAATCTTGATCAACTTCTTATTTTTTAATCAAAATTGTATATAGTATATTTGAAAAATAATGTATATACATTTTTATATTAGTTAAATTTTAAATAACTGAAAATATGGTAGAATTAAAGAAAAATTGGCATTGAGTAATATTAAATTTATATAACACAATTAAATTTCATTAATTGAACAAGGGCTTTTGAATTTAGACAGCATAAAAATAAAAAAGAAATGATAAAAAAAATGGTATAATACAAAGTTTACAAAAAAAATTGAGAAATAATTAAAAAAAAAAAAGTAACTTCTATACTATACTATGGTTTTATAAATAATACAATATGCATTTCTTTATTATTTCAGATAGGTATAGTATTTATGAAGAATATCTGACACTATTAAGTATTCAATATGTAAATGAAAAATATTACATCTCATAAAGATAGGTATAAAATAGATATTTCAACCTGTGAATTTTTATTATTTATTTTTTTTAACTATGGTCTAAATGTTATATTCAGTTTGAAAAGCTGTATATGTCTTTAAGAAATATCAAGACTGCAGAATATGTAAAATTTTTAAACATATGTGTGATAACTGTGTGATAATGGGATAATGGAGGAGAAAGGCTTGAAAATTTTGAAAGAAATTAAAACCAGTTATACTGGTTGTCCACTAGATTATAATAAAGTTGTCTAGTTTATATATGTCATTTAAATTCAATAATTTTGCTAACATGTATATAGTCATGTTCTCTAAAGAATGATATCGTTACAATTTATATATGTGAAATAGTGAAATAGTGATAACTAAAACAACTATATCACCAAATTATAAATGTAAAGTTCATGAACGTTACACTATTATAACTATTATACTATAACACAAAACTTGAAATGCATCATATTGTTCAATAGAACATTGACATTTTTTCCTTGATTTTAAAGCATTACAATTATATAGACATAGAATAAAATTTGTTATTAAAGCTAATAGTTTCTTTCTGATCTTTATTCTGATTCATGGATCTTACAATAAAGTATGCTAAAAACTTGAATTATCAGCATCAATAATATATCTCGAGAAATGTACGATGATAAATTTATCTAATCTTTTCTTTATATTCTTTAACCTTTTAGTCAACCTAAACATCTTGGCGTAACACCACCAATAGTTACAGCCCATCCAACTCAAAGAGAAATTGAAGTTACTGATTTGTTGCTTCAAGAACTTACCGCACAAGGAACCTTTGAGAGCGATGACGAAAGTAAACGACGGTAAGGTATTGCAAGAATTAAAGAAAAAAATTTAATTGACTTTCAAAATAAACTAATTTCATTGAATACAAAAATAGAGAAGTCGTCTTAGGAAAGCTTGATGGACTTGTAAAAGAATTTGTATACCAAATAAGTAAAGATAAAGAAAATCTACCTGAACCTGATGCAAAAGAAGCCGGAGGAAAAATTTTTACTTTCGGATCTTATAGGCTAGGTGTACATGGAGCTGGTATATATATTTGTTCTGGCTTTAATAATATTTTAGATTTTTTTTAAAATTTTTTTAGATTATTTAGATTTTTATAATTTATTTTTTTTTTTTAAAAAAAAAAAAAAAAATTTGCTAAAAATCAAAATATGAATAATTATTTTAGGTACCGATATTGACACACTTTGTGTAGTTCCAAGACATGTATCTCGAGAAGATTTTTTTACTGTAATGTACGATTTTCTTAAAAAGCGTAATGAAGTAAACGAATTAACTGTTAGTATTATATTGAGTATATTTTGAGTATATTTTGAGTATATATATATATATATATATTTTTTTTTGTGAAAAAAAAAAAATTAATTAATTAAATTTTCAATTTAACTAATCTATAATTATTTCTTTATTTAGTGTGTTACTGACGCCTATGTTCCAGTCATTAAAATGAAATTTCAAGATATCCCTGTTAGTTTTGATGTCACTCAATTTTTGAAATTTTTTTTTTTTTGAAGTTTATGAATTCATTCTTATAAATTATTAGATTGATCTTGTTTTTGCAAGATTAAATTTATCACGAGTTCCGGATGATCTTGAATTAAGAGAAAATTCACTATTGGAAAATTTGGATGAAACATGTGTAAGAAGCATAAATGGTAAGCAGTGGGTAACTAATTAAATTCTTTGAACTTGAATTAATAATTCATTATAATTATTATTATAATTATTATAAATATTACTTAATTTCAGGTTCGCGTGTTACAGACGAGATTTTACGCCTTGTACCCAGTATACCAGCTTTTCGTAAATCACTGAGGTGTATTAAGCTTTGGGCAAAAAGTCTGTATTGTTATAATTCAATTTTTTACAAATCATTTCATTATTTACAAATCATTTCATTATTTATTAAACATTCTTGGATCTTTATAGGACGTGCTATATATTCCAATGTGATGGGCTTTTTAGGAGGAGTTGCATGGGCAATGTTGGTAGCTCGAATTTGTCAACTTTATCCAAATGCAATAGCTGGAGCAATTGTATCTAGGTTTTTCCGTATTATGTATCAATGGTAATTCAAATTTAAATCTTTACGTTTTATTTATTTCTAATAAAATATCGATCAACTCACTTTATATAACAAAAAAAAAGGAATTGGCCACAGCCCGTTCTGTTGAAGCCAATAGAAGATGGTCCAGTCAGAGTATGGAACCCAAAGGTAAAGTCTTCAAAGTTCGCAATTTATATATTCAAAGATTTATGAAAAATTATCTATATTTTATTTTTTTCAATTTCACCCGTCACCCGATATAAGATATTATTCATTTTAGAATCGGAACAAAAATCGTGCGGATTAATTACTTATTATAATTTCCAAAAATATTTTTATACTATATATTTAATTATTAACTTTATTTTTCAATAGTTATATCATGGAGATCGATTTCATTTAATGCCAATTATCACACCCGCATACCCATCTATGTGTGCAACACACAATGTAACGCAGTCGACAAAAAAGATAATAGAAGACGAATTCAGTCGAGGTAAAAATTTTTTTTTCTTTATATAAACAATATATAAACAAATATTTATAAATATTTATAAACTAAATAAATTTAATAAATATCTAGCTGTTGAAATTGCTGATAAAGTAATGATCGGAACTGGAAAATGGTCCGATCTTTTTGCAAAACATGATTTTTTTCAAAAATATCGATATTATTTACAAATAATAGCCTCATCCGATAATGCAGAAAGACAACTTAAATGGTTTGTAATTTTATTGATAAACATTATTTAATTATATATATATAATTTAATTAGTATCATTATCTTATTAGGTCAGGGATGGTTGAATCGAGGATTCGTCACCTTATATCAAAACTAGAAACCGTGGAAAATCTAAATTTGGCTCATCCTTTCGTAAAGGGGTTTGATAAAGTATATGGTTCAGAGCAAGAGGCAAATGATATTCTTGAATCCAAAAAAGCCTATTATTGTACATCAGAGCAAGATCTTGAATCTAAAACAAATAACAATGAAGGTCCTCAAAATCGTGAAATAATTAGCAATGAAGGTCCCCAAAATCGTGAAATAATTAGCAATGAAGGTTCCCAAAATGGAACCGGTCGTGGAAGAAATGAAAGTCCCCCAAATGGAACAGGTCGTGAGAGAACTATAAATGAAGGTCCCAAAAATGGAACACCTCGTGAAAGAATTACCAATGAAAGTTCCCAAAATGGAGCAGACACTAATAATCCTCGAGCTATTCATGTTACTACATTCTACATTGGATTGCAAATTAACCCTCGAGAAGGTTTAATATCAATTTGTAATATTTGATTTTAACACACGATATAACTGATTACATAATTTATGAATTTATGTTTGATAATAGCTGGTTCAACTTCACCTCGACAATTAAACATATCGTGGCCTACTCAAGAATTTACAAAATTAGTAAAAAGTTGGGACAAATATGATGAAAATCATATGAAAATTACAATAAAACATGTAAAGAGGTATGATAAATAAATTATTTCAAATCATGTCGATTTCATTGTATATTCTGCAGCTACTATTCTTCTATTTTTAGCGCCGAACTCCCATCTGAAGTATTTGAAGAGGGGGAAGAACCACGTAAACTTAAACGTTCCAAACCGGGTGGCAAGGTAAATGATTATTCCAATATTTTGCATAACATTTATATTATAATCAAGATCACTTGTTGATATGTTCGGAAATTTTTCAGACTGAATCAAATACTACGACGTCAGAACAGCCCAGTAAAAAACCCAGAAGTTCAAGTGGTTCTAACGATACTGTAATTGATAGTACACATCCAACGGGAATAAATGCGGACAAAACGGACATTAATGTATCTAACCTGGAATCAAACTTAAATATTATATCATCGCGCTCTTCTACACCATTTGACATGTCTTCATCAAGAATAGGCCAACCGTTGAAGACTGCTCCTTGAGGACAAATTTATGGTTATTTTTAATGGTGAGGTGGTTTCCTGAGACTTTTGTAGGGAATCAATTTTGTTTGCGGTAAACTTGCAACAAATGACATTTTATCTGCATAAAATATAAAAAAAGAAAAATCAAAAAAAAAAAAAATTTTTTATACCCCAAGAATTTATAAAGAACCCTTGCACTTATAAAAAAAAAAAAAAAAAAAAATACGAAAAAATACACGTAAAATATTATTAATTATCATATCCATAGACAAGATTAGGGGATAACGAGAGCTTGCAAGACTCAACTACAGCCTACGTCGTTTTCGATCGTTTGGCAGTAAGAAATCCTGATATTGATGTTTAGAAGCCGACATTAATCTGCACGCATTATTGATCTAATATTGGGCTTCACCGTTATGAGCGTGCAGTCTATAAGGTAAGAATGTTGGATGTATATGGTTAGGTTGCTTTAGATTTGCAGCTAAAATAATTCAGAAATAACTTAATCGGATTTAAAAGCGAAATGTAATGCGAATTATCTTATTTTAATTTTTTTTGCCTTTTATGGTTTATTTCCTTCAAGGTTTGAGAAATAATGAACTTTATATTTATAATTATATATATATATATTTTTTTTTTAAATTTAGCTTCACTTATAAGTTTGCTTTAATTTAGTCTTGATTGTTTTTATTTGTCTTATTTTTTTTTTACTTAGTATAAGATTTGGCACAGGATTTGCTTGTTCTCGTATACAAATAATAATTATAGACGAAAATGTTATTATTACATGTTATAATATAAATATAATTAAATATAATTTTTGTGATGTTTTAATTCCAAATATGTTTATTGTCTGTAGCGTAAGACATAAAGTGATGAAATTATCTCGCGTGCTTTTTGTCACCCGCGTGTCACGTATTAATTATAATCACAATTACTTAAATCAACATTATTTTTATACTATGCGTAGTATTCATGCCAATCAGGCATTCGTTATAAAAAAATTCGATATAACGTATAACGAATCATACTATATGAAATACTTCTAAAAAGTATCTTCAATAAAACTATCAAGATTACATCACTATTCTTGTTTCAAGCTTCCCAGTGGTAGCTTAATTATCTTTTTAGCCCAAATTATTATCGCTTCAAAATCGACTTGAAAAAGTTCTTCGTTATGCTGAAAAAAGTTCATTATATCGAGGTACTTTTTAATATGCAACGTTCGCTAGGTTATCTTCGTACCATAATTAAGTATATCAAATTTTTTTTATTATGAAAAAATGGGGGCAATGAATATTCATAGTACCTATATATGCGAAGTATCTACAGACTAATAAGGAAGTTCCGCATAAAAGCTTCGATTTCTTTATCCCAATCGATATCTTTGTCCTGAGATATTTTTATTTGAGGTGAAGGAGAATGTAATCATATGCTTTTACACATAATTAAAGCTTTTAATGTATCGAACCAAAACTTAAAACTGATTCGGTTTGAACTGGTGTAAAGGTAGGTTTTTTTAAAAATTAGGATAATTTTTTTTATCATTGCAGCTTTGTAACATTGAACGTAGCATTGACAAAATATTGAAATGGGGAAAAGATAAAGGAATAACAAGAAAACTAAACAACAGAAATAGGATGCACGTACGATCTCTCAAATAGTCTTAAAAGGAAAATCTAATATAAAATTTTGAAAAACTATAATATTAACATATCTAATGTAATCTAATGGAGTGATCCGATTGTTAAAAAAACTTTAAGCTTTATTACATTAAAATAATTGAGTGTAAGATAAACATTTCAATTTAAAAGAAACAGGTATTTATCTTAGTCTCAATTTTTAATGTAATAAATCTCAAAATTTTATAGATGATACACTTACTTATATCTTAGTAGCAATTTTAATATTACATTAGTAAATGAAAAGTTTACAATTAATAATTAGTTTGATTTCAGTTTTCCTATTTGGTTCAGCTAAAGGATCCAAAACTGAACTGAACAATTAGGGGCTTTAAACATAATATGCTTTCTATTTGGTATTTTCTCTACATGAGCTTTTCGTATTTCTTGAATTGCTTCAAAGAATAATACAATAACATTAGAATTGAGAAATTTTTGAACTCTTGATCATGAAAAAAAAACTGGAAAAAATACAGAAATTTATATATACTTCAAGCTATTTTGAAATTATAAAAAGAAATAAGTTAGAAATCAAATTAATTAAAGTAGAAGTACACATGAAAATATGCACAATAATCAAACAGATAAGTTGATAAAATTGGAAATATCAAATAATAAAAGTATTATAATTTTTATTACTTAAATTTATTATATGATTTAGTCCATATGTATAGGATAATATGGAGTAGGAAAAGGAACAGCCATTATTTTACAATGTAAAGAAGATTAGGATCTGGTTGACATATTATATACTTTATTTCTCCCTCTTTGTTCTTACTTCACAATTTTTATCTATTCATTTTTTGGCTAACCTTTACATTGTAATTTTTGTAAAAATAATATATATATATATACAGTGGAGTATCAAAAGTCATGGGGCAAACAAAAATTAATAAAAAAATTACTAAAATTAAAATGCTAATTGTGACACAACAGGTGATATAAATTGCACAAACTTTTTTTTATTAGATTCCCTTAAACTAGGGCTATCATATAATATATTTTGTGTTAAAATTAAATGTCTATGCATAGAGAAATTACGCTTCAAACAAA